GACCCTTCATTCTTCGATACAGGACAAAGACCAATGTGATATTATGGCTAAGTGACACGCAAAAACACATATACGGGAGATTAAGTCTTCGTTTTTTGTGTCGTTGCTAAAAAGAAAATCGTCCTTGATGTTTAAAATTGGTTTATACTGTATACTGTATACTCAAATGAGCAATGGCGAGAGGAAAAAGTTCATTCAGGTCTTCAGTAATGCTACCAGCATTAATACGCTGGCTTTCATCTTCAAAGTCAATTCATGAACAAACAAGAGAACGGTTAAATAAGAGAGAACAGTATAGAAGAAAACTGCATCAGGAGGTTTCAACAGCAAGAGGGATATTCATTTTAACTTATTGATAAAGAAATCAAATATAAAAGGTCTTACTCAATCCATAAGACGTTTGGCACGTCAGAGAGGAGTTTCAGCTATGACAGTCCAAAAAGCATTGAAAAAAGACTGGCAATCGTACTTGAATCCTGTGGGGAATCTTGTTACTTCAGATTAGAAGGTTAGATAGGGTGACGATAACATTGAATAAGCTAGAAAAGATCCTGAAATAATATATATATATATATATATATATGACTTCATTTCAATTCTTCATGAGCTTCCGACCCTTAGCTATGATTAATTAATGATGAACATATCATTTTCGTTTATGATCGACTTCATAACGATTCTTCTGTTAATCTTTGAGAGTAATTATACATTCTTATTGCTCAAAGTAGAGTCTAATAGTGTTATAAAAACCTCGGAGCATTCCAGTAATATATCATTAATCTTTTCTAACATACAACGGTACAAATCTTAATCTACCAAATGAATAATTTCGCTGTTACGCCCGGTATATATATATATATATATATATATATATATATATATATATATAGGGAGAGAGAGAGAGTGAGAGAAAGGAAGGAAGGAAGGAAGCGGTAGAAATACCTCACACATATACAACCCAGGAATACCTTCCACATGCTGATAAGACATTAGTTGCAAGGGCGCCTACATCTAGCCAATAACTTATTATTATGGAGGTATTTTTGCTTCGCTCTGTAGACACAGAGACACACACACACACACACTTGGGAAATTAAATGAAACAAAAAGAATAATTCCGTTATTATTTACTTTTTTGGTATTTTTCCAATGAAACATGACCTAATGCAGATGTTAGTACTTCGTTTGTCCATTCCACGAAGTATTTCCTTGAAGATTGACCACAGATTCTCGACTGGATTTAAATCAGGAGAGCCAATGAATAGTACTTTGATTTGCTCACCGCTAAAACGGGCCAGTGTGTTCGTGCAGCGTTACAATTTTTCGTACCCTTCCTTGGAATAACGTCCATCGCAGACAATCGGCGTAGGACAACTAATCGACAGTCGAGACAATAGCGCTTGGGCGTGAGGAAAATCTGATGCAAGCGCGGATTACGCAATATTTTTCAAGTCCAAGAAAATGTCATCATACGCCCCGAAAACAGATTCATATTACTGCACGCCGTTGCAAATGACCTAATCTGAGGGAGAAATAGAAATCGATTACACCCTATGACTCCAGTAGGACTAAAACTGGCCGCATGGTGAAATAAAGGAAACAAAAGCGGTTGTTTTGATTACTTTTGTTTATATATATATATATATATATATATATATATATATATATATATATATATATATATATATATATATATGTACAGAGAGAGAGAGAGAGAATTTAAATGATATTTTTAGTAGATGCTCGTATCTGACGTAACAATGCCACATTTAGAGCGCCTAGCAAACCCCTTTTGTTGGCGTGTGTAATAAATGATTTGACCGACCAAATCTGGAATTCAAGGATTATTTATTCTGTGAGATCACCTTAGTAGCAACTTTAGACAAACACAATACAAAAGAACATGATATGCAGAAGTATAACCATCTTTACGCCGTGAGTCCTTCCTATTACGAATCGCTTAAGAGGAATCCGTATTAAATGTTTACTACAACAAAAATGGCGAATTACAATGAAACATTTTCTTATCGTCCAGCGAGATTTAGATGACGCTAAGGATAATAAAACCAATAATTTTTTTTATTTCATATTTATATTTGATGAAATTTATTTGTGTTCAGATGTAACTGGGAAAAATTGCGTTTATTTTCCTATGGATTTTAGATTCAGCATTAAAATTGTCTAAGCAAACATTTTTATATCATTAGTAATTTGTTTCTCGTTTATTTTCTTATATCAAACTTAAAGGGTTATTTAAAGCCATAAATATATTTTACGTATATGTATTAATATTTTTTTTCTAAAAAGGGTGTTATTGGTATTTTTGCTATAAAAATATATCTTGATACTTTCATTGTGTTTTGACACCAGTTTTGGGGTTAACTAATTGCCCATAGTTGGTACCCTATAGGTGCTACCATCCTGGTAAGGGTAGACCTGACTATCCAAAACTTCCCGTTGAGAGGCTTTATTGCCGGTTACCCTTGGGCACCTCAACGCGGTGTAATGTTTAGTAATCTTGATTCTCTAGTACAATTACGACTGAGTAGTGAGTTTGATCCTCAATGGGTGCCCCCATACATTCGACCTTGTGCCATACCTAAACTACGCTTATAAAATTGCCATTCTCATGACGATTATAATTTGTGTTCAGATGTAATCAGAAAATGGTCATTCCACTTTTAATTATTTTCCTAGTTTGGTTTCATTTGTTTTATGGCATCTCAATCTAAATGAATTATTTAATGCTGACAAGATGTTTTTTTTCAAATATGTATTGCTGGTAATTATGTATTGGTGGTAATAATTTTTAAAAAAGCATATCTGGTATTTAAAAAGGTATTTTTTTACTCTAGTTTGGTGTTTAAGTATTTGTCCATAGCTGGGACCACAACAGGTGCTACCACCCCAGGTCAGGGTGGACCTGGGAAAATTAGCAATTAAGAGATGGTTCCACGTTCCTCAAACCTCCTGATCAGAGGCTTTGCTATCGGATGCAGTTTATCCTCTTACCCGGGTCGCGGATGTAGTTTATCGTCTTGCCCAGAACGCGGATGTAGTTTATAGTCATACCCAGGACGGTGGAGTTTAGAATCGGCGTAAATCTTACAGTTTGTAAGTAAACAATATTTATATCATTTCTAATTTCTGTTGAGATGTAACCGGAAAATTGTCGCAACTTTACTAATTATTTTTGTAGGCTAGTGTAAACTTTCCATTTATTATTTATGCAGATATATTTTTATATTATGCCGAGATTATATTATATTGTGCCGATATTATATTATATGTGTTATATTATACATATATTATATTATATGTGTTATATTATATTATGCCGATATTATATGTGTTATATCATATTGTGTGTTATTCTTATATTATGCAGATATTATATATATATATTATATTATGTTATGTAGATATTTTTTATATTATGCAGATATTATATGTAATATATTATGTAGATATTTTTATATTATGCAGATATTATATGTATTATATTATGTAAATATTTTTATATTATGCAGATATCATATGTATTATATTATATTATGCAGATAGTATATTATTATATTATATTATGTAGATATTTTTTATATTATGCCGATATTATATTGTATGTGTTATATTATATTATGTTGATATTTTTATATTATGCAGATATTATATGTATTATATTATGTTATGTAGATATTTTTATATTATGAAAATATATGTATTATATTATGTAAATATTTTTATATTATGCAGATATCATATGTATTATATTATATTATGCAGATATTATATTATGTAGGTATTTTTATATTATGCAGATATTATATTATATGTATTATATTATATTATGTAGATATTTTTATATTATGTATATATTATATTATGTAGATATTTTTATATTATTCAGATATAATATTATATGTATTATATTATATTATGTAGATATTTTTTATATTATGCAGATATTAAATTATATGTATTCCATTATGTAGATATTTTTTATATTAGGCAGATATTATATTATATGTATTATATTATATTATGTAGATATTTTTTTATATTATGTAGATATTATTCCATTAATTATTATACAAAAAATTTTCAGAAAAATGTCCTGAAAATATTATTATGAAATTATAGAGGGGATCATTTTTTAACGGACCAACATCTTTGATTTATTCTTTTTTTTGATGAGTGTTGGTCAATTTATTTACATTAAAAACCATAATTTACTATGAAATTTGATAAAGTTGCTTATATAATCCATCCAGGGTATTCTTAGAAACCATCTTTAGAACCACAGGAATAGACATGTTCACCAATCGTCCGGTTCACACTCCTCCCAGGTCTTTTGAACAATAGTAGAGGTTTATCTCTCGTTTCCAGTTTAAGAATGAGTTTCAGGTTCCTACTAAATTTCGCTTCGGGTCTTTATTCCTAACACTTGTTCTTTCCTACGTTAATATATGTCCACACAGTAACCTCTACCTTGAGAGACTTTTAAGCCATATATTTGGCGGACATCCCTTCTTGTCTCAAGTTTTCTACCCATCTTTGAGGAAAGGATAGAGAAATCACTGCCATATAGATGTATTGATGTTACATAGCGATTCGGCATTGATTTTCTATACTAGATAGGTCAATGTTTCTTTAATAATTTCACATATCTGAAAAGATTTCGAATGTTATACGAGTCTTTCACCTGATGTCTCATCAATGTAGTTTGTAAGAGAGATTTTGAGATGAGACTTTAAAAAAATGAAATGAATTTCGGATTAATCTGTGCCATGAAAGACGTGGCCATTTAATCTACTCTGAGAAGAGATTTCCGGACTGATGTGACATCTTGAAGGGTTATTAGTTAGAAAAAATACTACTGAAGATTAGTCCTGAAAAGCAGAATTAATGAGGCGTATTTGGGGAAGAAATGACAATACATCCGAAAAAAAAATCTAGAGGCATACAGACACACAAATACACACAGAGACAAACAGACATACGGATAGATAGATAGATAGATAGATAGATAGATAGATAGATAGATAGATAGATAGGCATGAACAGGTTTTGAGATAGACAGATAAGCATGAATATATATATGATATATGATATATATATATATATATGTGTGTGTGTGTGTGTAGAGAGAGAGAGAGAGAGATAAATATAAAACGAGTGTTATAGATAGATAGATAGATAGATAGATAGATAGATAGATAGATAGATAGATAGGCATGAACAGATTTTGAGATAGATAGATAGATGGATAGATAAATATGAACAGAGATAGATAGATAGATAGATAGATAGATAGATAGATATGAACAAATTTTGAGATAGATAGATAGATAAGAACAGAGATAGATAGATAGATAGATAGATAGATAGATAGATAGATAGATAGATAGATAGGCATGAACAGATTTTGAGATAGATAGATAGATAGATATGAACAAATTTTGAGGTAGATAAATAGATAGATAGATAGATAGGCATGAACAGATTTTGAGATAGATAGATAGATGGATAGATAGATATGAACAGAGATAGATAGATAGATAGATAGATAGATAGATAGAAATCATGAACAAATTTTGAGATAGATAGATAGATATAAACAAAGTGTGATATATATGAACAGAGTAAGATAGATAGATGGATAAATAGAACAAACCGAGATAGATAGATAGATAGATAGATAGATAGATAGATAGATAGATAGATAGATAGATATGAACAGACTGAGATAGATAGAGAGAGCGAGAGAGAAAGAGAGAAAGAGATACGCAGTAGACATAGATGATAAAATCATAACAAATCTCATTCGTACTAATATATCTTTCAAGGATCCTAATAAAAATAGTATTAGTCATATATTATAAAAGATACAATAAAACCGACTTAATTATTCGCAAAAACTCCTCCCCACCAACTGATGTATTATGTAAAACCAACATTATATATCAGTTCAGTTGTCTCTTGGGAGAATGCATCTCAAATTAATAAAGAAACAAACAAATATATATGTTGGATATACACCAATTCTCATTATCAAGACGTCTTACTCTACACATGTCAGACCATTCGTCCATTGAAGAAACATTTACACCAACATTCCTGCCCACATTCACAGTATAGTAAATACTGATTGATAACTCAACTATCCTACACTAAGAAAAAAACAAATTAAAATTACAGATCCACGAAGCAATCTACATTTAAAAAATGAAGCCAACACAATAGAATCAGTGACGATTATTGTAATAATGTTCTAAAATGCCTATAAAAAGAACAGTTTTCATGCTTTAATGCAGAACTTGACCATGACATTCCAACATAAAAACTAAAGATATTTCCATAGTGGATAATTTTTCACGTTCTAATGAACGCTAAAATAAAACTGTCAACCGTTGCATTTAAACGCAAAAAGGAAAAAAATCAGTAATAGATAGCTACACATAGTTCTTGTCATACTAGTTGCACCCATGATGATCTCAGAAAGAGATGGAAAGTACTTGGGAAATTAAAGTGATTTTCACTGTTACAGTGCATTTCTTGCATTGTTTGATTGTAATACACGGAAGGATATTCGTGAATTTGAAAGGATTATACTAAAAATAAGCAGACAAAATGTTTGCAATTTATTTAATCAGACATGCCTAAAAGAGAATTTGCTGCTTAAATACACAACAATTAAAACTTAAATAATTCTTATATATTATTACACTTGCATTTTATTATTGTATATGATATTAATATAATATATTTATATGATATAAGTATTACCTATGTTGTAATATTTATTTGTTAAATGAAATTTCTAATCTTGTCTTGATAAAGATCCTGAAGGAACGAAACACATTGGCATAAAAGGTTTTCCTCTGGTATTAATTTTATGAATCTTGTCTTAACAATAACTTTTTTATTTATACCTGAAGTTTTCCACACGACTCAAAAACATATATATGACAAACACACGCGCACACACACACAGGCGCGCGTGGGCACACACACACACATATTATATCATAAAGAATTATATGGCAACGTTAATGTGATTAATGACGAAATCACTTCGCTAACAGGACATAATGAGACATTAACTTACTATCTATTCTTTGAATAATAAGATACTTATATTCAACTGTCAATAGATAGCATAATAACCTGGAAATACACTATCCGAGCTGACCCAATCAAAAAAAAATTAATTACAAAACAATTTAAAACAGCTAAACTTATCCTCAAAAAATGACAACATACCTGTAAAATCAAAACTACAAAGAAAGAACTTTATCTATGAGTTCAAATGAACCTTAAGGAACTGTTTTCCTGATCAAACCGAATTCATAATTAATTTCGCCCGTCACACTACCACATGCCTACCTAGATGACTTACGTTACACCTATCCGACTACAGCTCCATTAGAACTCGTTTAAACACAAACCTAACAGAGTCCATCCAAATATATATATATATATATATATATATATATATGAGTGCCAAGTAGGATATATAAACATAATAACCTCATTTATATGTAAAAAACAAAGATTAAAATTAATAGAAACCTTAATAATAAAAAAGAGAAAGCCAACATTCGATAATATTAACTACGAACACAGCCACAATGTACTGACTGTGTTCGGAATATAAAACATCCCTATAACTCTAGATACATACGCACAACCCATACATTCAGTTAAAAAGTAAAGAAAAAAAAAATCCTTGATAATGACTAAAGAGTATAGCCGAAAGCGCCTGCATAAAAAAAAAACAAAAAAACATTCGGACAGTTTTTATATAATTTATCATCCGAAAACAAAAATATTATTAGATCGCATGAGAAATTGAATAAAAAACTAAAAAGAAAATCTTTTCTGTCGTTTTCAATGAAATGCATATATATATATATATATATATATATATATATATATATATATATATATATATATATATATATATATAAATTACTTAATGACCAGAACCCCTTAAAGATTGTTTATTACCAAGAATGTTCGAGGTCGAGGAAAACAACAACAAAATGTTGATATCAACGTTATCTTTTTAAATATATATATTGATCAGTAAATGTAAAAAAATATACTGATTTTTTATATTTTATATATATATATATATATATATATATATATATATATATATATATATATATATATATCAACGTGAATGGTTGATCTCTAATTTTTAATATATATATATATATATATATATATATATATATATATATATATATAAACACACACACACACACACACACACGCACGCACACACACACACTTCATATATATATATATATATATATATATATATATATATATATATATATATATATATATATATAACTTCATACGTGTTTTTTTCCGATAATTTTATTCTTTCAAACGTTATTTTAGTGGACAATTCATATTTTGAAATAGACACTACATTTTCTTTTTTAACAGTGTATTACGTCTATCGAGATAGGGCGTCTATTTTAAATACGAAGTATCCAATCGAATATCCTTTGAAGTAATAAACTTTCGGCTTAAAAGATCAATAAATTCTTCAGAAATACACCCGCTTATATATATATATATATATATATATATATATATATATATCGCACATTGTGTGCCGTTGTCCAAAAATTAGTTCTTGATGTATAATATGCATATATATATATATATATATATATATATATATATATATATATATATATATATATATATATATATATATATATATATATATATATATATATATATATATATATATATATTCATAGGTACACTTACTTTGTTTTATTGGCCAAATCATCTCCTCTATTTTATGTTATATATATATATATATATATATATATATATATATATATATATATATATATATATATATATATATATATATTGGTGTGTATATAAATTAACCAGCAAAAGCAAATGACTCCCGAAGAACGACACTGAAGTTGACAGACGGCTACAAATAATAGTAGAAACTTCAATATCAGAACATTTATATTACTCATAATCATCCTCTTTAGGCTTAACCGATTGTGACTGTCCGTTACTTGCGCGGTATGCAAGAATTCGTCAGTTGATTGTCCGACTGTATAACCCAAGCATAACGCGTAGGAGACAGAGAGGTTGTATACAATCGTGAATAAACTCAGCCGCCACTTCTAAAACCAAGTTGACCGAAATAAAATTTACATTTAACAAATATCTATTTTAGAATACCAATAAAAAAAAAATTGTTATTCTCATTATTCACGCTCGTCATGTTCCGATCAGGGATAAAAAAAAAAAAAAAGTCTTTTGTTTACATTGGACAATAAAAATTGATTTCATTTGTTTCTGGTAAATTGACCAAAAGAATAAAATATATAAAATTTAGAAAATAGATTTTGTTCGAAAAAAGTTTTCATTTAATTTTTTGTTGTTTTTCTCTTGTTTTCTTGTTTTATTTATTTTCTTTTTATTCTTTTTTTTTTTTTTTTGTAAATTTCAGAAATCTTTTCTGGTCTGGACTTTAATAATAACAGTGAAATTATATTTTTATACGCTAATATTACAAATTGGAATTGTTTATGCAAAAAAGATATCTTCGTTCATTAAAAAAAAATGGCTAAAGCAACACTTAACCACATTCAGCAAAAAAAGTTAATAGTTTAAACCTTACCATGGGACCAATAATCATGTATTCAAAATTTTAGAGCTGCCCACTTAAAGGTGAGCTTACGTATGACGATATATATATATATATATATATATATATATATATATATATATATATATATATATATATTTAAGCTATCGCTCGAAGCAAGGCTGGAGCGCCACTTAGCACGCAAGTGATTACAGATAATGAGTGCAAGAGTAAAAAAGGGGTTTGAAGAAAAGATAGAGAGAAGGATGGGGATTAGTATCATGGCTTCAAAAGATGCCGAATAACATTAGATTTCAATACTTGAAGATTATAGCTATCAGAGAAGCAAGTAAGAAGAAGGTGTTCCACTGACGAAATAAGAAAAAAATAAGTGCGAGATAAGAAGCTGTTGGAG